CCCCACCCCCACGTCTCTCCACGCCAATTGCATTAAGGAAACAAGAAAGCAAGAGATGGCAATGTCCAACTTTTTCGGGACATAAGCTACGATCTCCACACACCACAGACACTGATCTACAAATTGGGTGTACACATTAGCTCGAAAGGTAGATATCCCCCCACCCCCATCCCCTCTGGATTATTACCAGTACTGATAAGCACGAAGCCATGAAATTAACTCACCAGAAAGATATTCGCGACATATCTAAACGACTCCGGATCGGTTGAATCGTAGAGAAGACAGGCAACATCAGCCGAAAGCGCCTCTCCAGTGCTCATTTGCTCCCCGTAACCGGCGCTAATTTCATGCAACAGGAGGGTTCGAAAATGGTCAAAAACCGGTATGCCTGTGGCCGCAGCCCATGCCGATGTCCGACCAGTCGCTCCGCCCACAGTAGTACCTCCACGTCCACGTAGTCCTCGACCAAGGAGTCCTTGTAGCAAGCATGTCTAGAAGAAGGCGGAAAATCATCTCTAGTAATGGATTAGCAGTTGTATTGAGATCTACTACCCTAGTCACCCAATCAAATTTATCCTATTATCTTACACCTTCGTGGTGAGTTTCACGTTCCCACAAGATCACTTTTAGCTTACTGAGTACAAAAGTGCTATCCTCTTCAGACTCTCATTTCCGTCATGTCGTGGATAAGTTCAAACGTTTGAGAAGAGCTATAAAACTCACTCTCAAGTGAGAGGTGTGCGATAGGCTTACCCCCACGTGGTGCACCACGGGCAACGTATATTCATACAGCAAAAAAGTCTAGAAACCGGCAGTTGACTTCTGACTTCAAACTATGACCCGACACTATGTCATATTACACCTCTCTACACAGTACTCATCTTACCTTTTTTCTACCTTTGTGTCTCTCTGTCTGTCTCTCCTACATCTGTGAATCACTCTTCTGTCCATCCTCTCGAATTCTTCTCAATTTGATGTTCCTTCCCCTCTGTGAAGCTCGAAGTCACCTAAAGGGCTAATGATAATTATCAAAACGCCTGCCATTTGAAATAAATAAAAATCTCAAGTGACGAGGAACCGAGGACAGCTTATCTTCTCGTATCTAGCCCTTTGCAGATATAAACTTCTCTCACAACCACAACCACATAAGCTTACTAGGGCATGTGCAATGAAGTATTCAATACTGGCTCCTTGTCTGTGAGTTTGGAGGCTTTCAGAGGGGCGGCAAAAGGTCATTCACCTGTCACATGTTAATAGTGAGGCTTCTTTTGAGCTGCCAAGAAAGAGTAAGAACTAGAAAAGCAAAGCTACTCTACACTTTCGTAACATTGGGAGAAGGTAGGGAATCGAGCTTCAGCTGGTGTGCCCACGAGGACAGGGGACTTAGAGTCTCGGGTCGGGAAAATAGCCCATTCCAAGAGGAAACAAACACTCCGTGGGCTGAACCCTGGTAAATCGAATTTTCTTTCAAAATGTAACCCCCCCCCCCCTAAGACTTCTGGCAAGAAATGCGCGTAAATGAAATGAAGTAAAGCAAGCTTCTAAATGCCCTATACCAAGATGGATTGAAAAATCTCATAAAGCGAGAAGTTGAGATCAATTATCACTTCGGGTCAAATAAATAGGAGCATTCTATTGTACTACAATGTTTCTTAGGCCGATTCGATGGATGGAATAGAATGGAAGGAGAAAGGAAGGCAATAAAAGCATTCAGGGGGATACCTCCAATTATTGCAGTAAGCATCCAACTAACCTTCCCAACCATACGACTTCCATAAACTCGACAATAGAAGACTGTTCGATCTGTGTGCCCTCGGATGTAGTCCATTCGACGATCAGGGGTGATAGTCAATCCGCGTAGAAGGCTCTTTGCAGCATTGTCAATGAAACCATGGAGGTGACTAACTCGATTGTCATTACTTGAAGTTGATGTGAGGCCCACACCAGAGAGATGCTGACGATCATTGTCAAGAGCACATGTAGTTCCAGATTGATATGTGAATCCCCAATAGGCAAGATACTCCAAAGCTCGACTGGGTTCCAACAGAGCTCCCATCCTTTTCGAAGGGAAAAAAGCAAAAAATTCATTCATTCATTCAAGAAATCCCGCCTGGATATGAAGTAAAGGAGACCGACCTAGTCAATTTAGATCTCGATTTTAGTTCATTTCGGTACCTTTTAGCTCGATCAATGTACCTCAGAATCTAAATAACGTCATCGCCATACTTTAGCAGTGATAATATGATCAAATAGGGGTATGACATGGCAAGGAAGCTGATCTAACTTAGAGAGTGAGCTGGAAAATATTTTTGTGACCTGGAGTGTGCGATAGACTTACCTTCACGCGGTGCACCCAGATCAATATATACTCATACGGCAAAAAATGTCTGTTAACCGGGAGTTGACTTATGACTTCAAACTACCATGACCCCACTGTAGGTCATATTCGACTACTTCCACAGTACTCAACTCGCCATTTTTCTACCTTTGCATCTGTCTCTTTTACGTCTTTGAAACACTCTTCTGTTCCCCCCCCCCTCTCCCTCTCGACTTGTTTCACTTTGATGTCCCTCCTCCTCTCTGTGAAGTCCAAAGTCAGCTAAGGGGTTAATGATAACTCTCCAAACGCCTGCCACTTGGTATAAATAAATTTTTGTAACATAAATAGTGGAGAAATTTAAGTGATGAATTATAGTTTCGAAGCTTTGAAATCCTGTTTTCTTTCTCGTGATCAACAGTAGACCCTAAGAGATATACGAATATTTGCAAAAAAATAATAATTTGAAGACTGATGGCGATACAAGGTCACAACTGTTGGTTGCACAGACTACAACTTGAAAATCAGAAGCTCTTTTTGAAACTTAGGAAGCGTATTTTGCGTTGGTAGGGGAGAGGAGGAGGGGAGGAGAAGACACCAAAGTAGGGAGAGGTCAACTTACATCCAATGGGCTATGAATCCACGTCGGGAGATCCAGCCTTTCGAATTTGTTTCCACACAAAGACCAATGTCCTCCATTCCAATAGTGGGGAAGGGCAAAGTTGAGGGTGTCGTTCCATCAATGTCTGGCCCTGTTTCACTTACTGGACAGGTGGCAAGGAGTTCGGTTAATTCAGCCCGATTGAGGAATTCGTCACCGTCCTGAAATACAGACATTAATGTTGTCAGTAGAAGCAAAGAGTAGAAAATACGCAGTCCAATTTGAACCTCATTTCGAAAGTTAAAGAGAGCCATTTCAACCAATAACTTGCTTGGAGTACTCGGAAAAATGACAATACCACAATCTCGCCTTATGTGCCCCTTCCATTTTGAATAAAAAATAACGTTTAATTAGGAGATTATTCAAACGAATCAATGAATGACCTTGTATATTGTACAGCTTTTTTTCGACATTCATTAGAATTCTAGCATCTTAAAACTCGTCTTCTTCTCTCTCTCTCTCTCTCTCTCCCTCTCCCCCCCCCTTCACTGCTGACAATTTGGATAGTTGAAATTACATTGACATCACTTCAAAAGAACTCACAGCATCGTATTTGGTAAAGAGGGAGTGAAGGAAATGCAAACCAGCTGGGGAGAGTTCTGAGGAGCAACCAGGTGGAACAACCAATTTGGGAAAGAGGAAGTCACGAGATAGACGCAGACGATTGTCGTAGCCAAACTGACGTAACACGGCCCAAGTTGTCTCGTGTCGGCCCTTTCGAATGAATATGAGATGCAGAAAGAGAAAACCTAAAGAGCCAACAGAAGGAGGGAAGCAATAAAACAAACAAAAATTGTCGATTAAGGAAAAGAAACTCAGAAAAAGAGGAACATTAAATCGAAAAGAGTGTTTTAAAGATGCAAAAGAGACAGACACAAAGGTAGAAAAAAGGTAAGATGAGTATTGTGAAAGGGGTCGAATATGACAAGCAGTCGGGCCATGGTAGTTTGAAGTGAGAAGTCAACTGCCGATTAATAGACTTTTTCGCCGCATGAGTATACGTTGCCCAGGGTGCACCACGTGAAGGTACGTCTATTGCACACCCCCATACGAAGAGTCTGCCACAGGAAAGAGGAACTACACGCTAGGGGGAACAGGCCAAATCGGAAGAGGTCAAAACGAAATAGGGATTGGAATGCAAAGAAATTCTTGCTAGACCATTTCTAATTGAACTCTTCTTCAACAATCCTGCTTTATGGCAAGTTAAAAGAAGCCTAATGGTTTAGTTTCAATTTTATTCAACTAGTCTTGCAATGGACTCACAATTCTGTTTTATAAAACGACCAACTTCCTGTCTGAACAAATGACCAATAAAGTCGTGCCAACAGCACCAAACGTACGAATAGGCAAAAAGAGGGCACCTTGTGATACGAGGGAGATGGCCCCCCCCCCCCCCCCCCCCCCCCCGCCTCCTCCCACATGTGATGACTTATCACCCAAACCACGGGGAGTGAATTCACACCAATTCATATGATTGGCTTCTTGCCAAAAAAGTAACTTTGTATGTGAGTTTTCGCTGATGGAATTTCATGACGCATGAAAAATGCAAACTGATAGGGGCAAGACGTAGGAGAGTGAGCCGATTTAATAGAGATGCACAGTCAGGCAGTAGGCTACCCTTCTATTGTATTCGATAGACCATTGTCCCAATTAACCCAAGGACATCAAATTCACACAAAGTACAGCTGATTCATCGAAGCTGGAAGTTAAATGAGGGTGGATGCTATTTATGGGTAGTTATCAAGAGAGACTGCCTATTAACACTACTCGAATTGACTCTAATTGGATTCTCATTCATTCAACCTTCACCTTAGAAGCTAAAGCTAAAGCGAGTTGGCTGAACAAATAGCGGGTGTGGACAAGTCGGTAGAACCAGACCGATGTGAAAATCAAGTAAAGGCTCCCCCGATATCATGACTATCAGGATAATGAGAGAATAAAGAGCATTCTGGGAAGCTGAAGTAAGTGGTTTCCAGGAAGCAAACAGACAAAAAAGTGTAGGGGGTTGGGTCAGACTAAGTCTACCAGAATGGGCACACAAGAGCATAGTCCTTTTCCATTGATAGAAAAGAAAATTCACGGGGATAATGGATCTTCACGCCCGTTGTCTAAATACGAAAATAAGACGCCTGTGGACGCTTGGGATTCATTAAAGGTCCAAGAATTAGGAACTGACGTAATTATTAATTGAAATAAGTATTAGGCAGCTCATCTACCGATTATTGGTGCTCCACACTCATGGCTGGGAATGAAATAGTACCACTGTTGATTGCTATTTCGGCAGCTAAAATTCCTAATATGCCCCCAAATCACAAAAGCTCTACATTTTTACTCATTGAAACCAATTTGAAAGCAGCATTAATCTCGCTTTTTCCCCGAATGTAATCGAGAAATTGGGGACCGTAGACTTAGCCGTGATAGTAGTGCGTTATACATCAGAGGTCATTTAGCCAAATACCACCGCGCTAACAGAGTGAGGCAAACACTTTCCAAGCTCACAGACTCTACCTCTCGGGGGCTAAATTATCGATTGTTGAGGAGGCTTAGAAATACGATGTGCCACTCATTGGCTAAATGAGAAGCCAAGTATTTTCCAATCTACATAAGTGGATGCGCAGTTATAAGAAATCTTCATCCATCCAGCTTAATCTAATGGGTCGGGGTGTGCGAAAGACGTACCTGGGTAACGTAAACTCATACGGCAAAAAAGCCTATAAGCCGATTCTTGACTTCTGACTTCAAACAACCATGGCCCCACTGTATGTCAGATTCCATCACTTTCACAGTACTCGTCTTACCTTGTCTCTGCCTTCGCGTCTGTCTGTCTGTCTCTTACATCTGTGAATCATTATTCTATGCCCCCCCCCTCTCGATTATTTGTCACACTTTGATGTTCCTCCTCCTCTCTGTGAAGCCCGAAGTC